TAATGAAATACTGTAGTACGTTTTTCTCCATTAAAAACATCTTGATTCTAATGGACAGAATAAATGAGGACATGACGAGGAATAGACATGAATTTACGAAGAAGTGAATGAGAGGTCAGCTGTGGTAGCTCATGCCTATAATCCCAGCACTTTGGGAGGCCAAGACAGGTGGATCACCTGAGGTTGGGAGTTCGAGACCAGCCTGGCCAACATGGGGAAACTCCGTCTTTATTAAACATACAAAAATTAGCTGGGTGTGGTGGCGCATGCCTGTAATTCCAGCTACTTGGGAGGCTGAGACAGAATTGCTTGAACCCAGGAGGCAGAGGTTGCAGTGAGCCAAGATCGTGCCACTGCACTTCAGTCTGGGCAACAAAGTGACACTCCAGCTCAAAAAAAAAAAAAAAAAAGTGAATGAACTATTATTTGAAAAAGCAAGAGTAAATTTTCTCTTTTCTTTGACTTTGAACACCATATTCTAAGATAAAACGTGGTATGAGGTCCTCAAGGTCCTATACAAATTTATCTGCCTTTATATACAGATTTCAAAGTACTAAGTTTGTCCTAAATTCTTAAGATTTGAAAAAACAAAGTGAAAAATCAAGCAAATATCAGCTCTAGTGATCCCAACAGATGAAAACAAATACTGCAGATTTTGAACTCGTTTTCTTAATAATTATTTGGTTGGTTTCTATTAGTTTTATGACAACCCTCTGTTGGCTTCAATTTCAGTATCTATAAAATAACATTGGAGACAGAGCTATCTCAAACTTTTTATGACTTAAAGAATTTCTTAAGTGCAAGATAAGCACATAGCTATCGTTAACAGATAAGCCTGGTTTGATTTACTCAATTATTTATTTAGTGTCATCCTTGTTCCAGAGAGGATATGAGGTGACTTATTTGAGGTACAGCCAATATATATAATCCTATTGGTTCCCAGAGGTGTTGCCACACTACATGCATAAATCACCAAGCAAAATAGCACAAGCACATATAAAACCTGCAACAGAGGAAAGTAGCATGTTAAGTCCATGTTATTCCAGGTAAGAAAGTTCTGATTAATGATACTAGAAATGCCCCAAAAGTTTTTATCACAAAATTAGCAAAAACTGCCCTAGGACTTCACATTTCTTTGTCATATTATCAGCCTAGAGTTCCCCACAAAACTACAACCTTCCTGAATTCCAAAATGAGACATTAGTTTGGAACTGACTTAGAAGCAAAAATCTGAATTCTAGATTGCCATGTTTTCCTTGGATATTCCCCATTCTGGCATTAGGAAAGTGATTGAGATCGGGAAATCATAAAGATCACAGCCCAAGGAATGTAGACACACAAAATAACAAAGCAAGTCAAAGCTAATTTCAAAACACTGCAATCCAATCAATCACACATTTCCTAAAAGTAGTAGTGGAGTTTTTAATTATTAAAGGTAAAAAACAGATCCATGTCTAAGTCCCAAAATTAATGCTTTATCCTCATTTGGTCCACAACAGTTGTTTGCTACAGTGGAGAGAGGACACTTTCAGTTCTGTTGCACAGGAGGGATTAACTTGTTATAAAAACAAAAGAAGTAATTGAATATAAATATGTAACTTCTGACTCTATCATCAATAAGGCAAGTGTATACCCCTAGAAAAATGAAGTGCTTAGTGCTTCTCAGCCAAAATTACAATGCCACGTCCTTGGGTGCTATCTGACGTTAGAGCACCTTCATTCTGAAAAGATTATGGTGGCCATCCCTACCATGTAGCAAAGAATGCAAACAAAATATTAAGTCACAAATAGTTTAAAGAAATACCGTAAAGACGATTTAAAAGCTCTATAAAAATGACAAAAACTACTTAAATGTTTTCTAAAATAATATCAAACATCCTCCTTTTGAAAATCTGTTGCTTTTATTGCTTGTGCTTAAATACTAATTCCAATAGAGAAACTCAAATTAAGAACTACAGGTCTATTTGTAGATGTCCATACTACAGTTTGAAGAGCTTTAGGGTCACCCTTCAGAAGTTCTAAATCAGCAAGGAAGTAGTCTCAAAGTCAGATAGTCAAGTCTGATGCTGGAGAAAAGCCAAGCCAGAGGGAGTGTTAAGTTTGTGGGTAGGCATATGCATCTGTACTAACAGGACGACTGGATGGGATTCCACCTTCATGTCAACAGTGGGAAACAGATTTCAAAGAGCCTGTATCTCCAAAAGGGCTTGAATTTTTGCCATCTCTTCCCAAGCTGTTGGGAAATAAACACAGGAATAGATGGTAGCAATTTCCATGGGTTGCACATCTCCCAGTAGAAAACGACCAGTGATAAGAAAGTGCTGGCAATCAAGGTGATTTTTTCCAAATGCTTAGCTTGCCTTTGGTATAACAATTCAAGCAGAAAAGTGATTTGCTTGTTTCATTGCTTGTGGCGGTAAATTCAATTTTTTCATATATGGATTGTGCCTTCTTAGGATACTGAATCTCAATTTTGGAGATTTCACATTTCGGCCAAGGTCAGAATATAGAAACTAAAAGAGCTTCCTAAAGATAAATTATGTCCAAAATACCAAAGACACTTATAAAATAAGCCTTTAATAGAAAGCATAATTTATTCCAATTGACTACAATATAAAAAACTTATTAAGTTTCAATTGTTCACATTTAAAATTGGAAAACATTTTATATTCTAAGTTTTAAATTTATTTCAAAGTATTACAAAACAAACTCTTAAGTTCATAAAAAATTCTTTAATAATCTCTATGGTTAAGTCCAAAATAGAATTCCTTAATAAACTTTATGGTTCAGTTCATAGTATAATAATACACAAAGCATATTAAAATGAATATTTTACATTCTGGATAATCAAATATAATTCTAATTATATTCCCTTTAAGTTGGGTATTATGTGTATTTTATTGCATTCTGGATCTAAAAACTAGAATCAATATACGATTTACATATGTACAATTTTCAACTAATTGTAAAATGTATTTATCTGTAGCAACCCAGTTTCAGGACAGAGTCTCAGAAAGGTTTGAGTTCCGGGGAAAATTTTACAGGGAAAAAAAATGAGAGGTTTTCTACCTTGATTGTTTCTATTTGCCATGTTATATGCAAACAGAGAAGTAAAGAGATGCTACACTGAATGTAGCAAAAAGGAAATTTTAACCAACTTCTTGACAAATATTGAAAAATCAAATTCTGATGTTACATAACTATTCAAGGATTATTTATTCAGCTCAAGTAGAGAACAGTTTTATGTGAGTATAATTCCTTCTGTACAAGTTCAGAAATGTACTTCAAACAATAACTGCTATATTAGTTTCAAATCAAGCTTTCATTCAAATAAAAAAAAGCATATCTTTTGTTTAGTCCGACTTATAATAGCTATCAACTATTTTTCTACCTAAGGTTCTCCTCCTGTCCCACTTCATTCCTTATAAGGTGAGTAAGGAAACTTTTTTAAAATGTTTGGGTAAGATTCATTTTGGCTATCACGCAACACAGAGAAAATATCAGTTAATTAAAAAGAAAAAAGTCTTTGTAAAGTTAAAAGACGCTATACGTTAATGAAATATTCGGAACTCCAGAAAATTTCTGATGAAATTTACATATTCTAAATAGTCTTTTTGGAAAGATAACTAAAATAGTATCAATCCTCCATTCACACACAACAAAATAAAATAAATTTAAATGAGATTATGTTTTAAATTATTCAGTTTTTTAATGTTTTGCTCTCAATGTATAATATTTAAATGATTTATGAAGAAAATGAAAAATCAACTTAGTATATACATTTTTAAACTTGTGTTTAATCAGAGCTTTTTATTTTTGAAGTATATACTACTTTTGACAATAATATGTTTTTATACAATACAGAAAAAATAAGTATTTGGAAAAACATGCTTTTTAAAAAATAGAACAAAATTAGACAGGACTCAGAAAAATACAGTCTGTTTTGATTTTGCATTTTTACTTGTATACCTACTTGCTGTATCTTTCTAAAATCATTTTAAGACAAAATTGGCCTGATATACTTTCTTGCAATTTTGGGGTTCTTCTGGTATTTCAGCCTCACATTAACAAAGCACTACTTCAAGAAAGTTCAAACAATGGAAGACCTAAAAACTAAGTCTACCTGAGGAAAGTTTTTGTACTACCTCCTGTAATCTTTTTGGTTTATTTTCAATGAAAAGACAGATGAGATTGTTTGGGAGGTGGAGGGCATGTGTAGCTGGTTCAGGGTTTTTGTGTTTGGTTTTCTTTTTGTTAGTTTATTCTTAGAACACTCTTTTACTAAAGTCGCCAATATAATTCACATTTTTCTAATAATGAAAAACTCCTTGTGCTAGTTTTATCTCATGAGAAAAACCACTGCTCCTAAATCAAAAGCAAAATGCTATATGTTCAGAGCTATATGAAGACAGCCAAGTTATAAAAGCCCATTTTCAGATCTGGAACAACTTCTGAAAACAAAGGGGGTATTTGGGATACTTTATACTAAAGAAAAAAAATAACCTACTTTCATTATTTCCTGATTCTGGAGATCCAATAAAAACCTTATGGAATAGAAAGTCTTGCAAAAATCCTTCAGTGAAAACAGAACCAACCACTCCCACCCCCAACAACTCCCTTTTAAAGTAATAAGAGTTGATAAACTATAATTAGAATATGAAAATTTTTACATTTTCTTATGAGTCGTATAAGAAAGATTAAAAGGTTCATTGGCTTTTCAAACAGCAATTATCTTAGCACCTAAAAGATACACAACCGAAATATATGCATAAGAAACACCAACAAAAATTAAAACATTGGTGATTAGGTAAATACTGATGATGTCAATATAAAAGTATTTGCCACTGCAAAGGGCCTGAGCACAATCACATCTTGTCCCGATCATACCTGCCTGCCAGAACAAAATAGGCGGCTGACCAATTATGGGGTGTTTATCTATACAGTGGTACCTTTGTTCTCCAACAATGTCAGATTGCAAATGTCCTGGAACACATATTTACCTGGAGGATTCTTGGCAGGATCATTGTGGCTTGGACTTCCTGATTGTCCAGAATCTGTAAAGAAATCACAGAAAATGTTTTCTTTTTAATTTGTTTTGAAAGAATTTCACAATCCTCAAACAACTTGAAAAAAAAAAATTAAGGTATATAAATGAAGTTGAGTGCTTAAATACAATATACTTTCCCAAGCCTTTTGATAGAAACATTTTAGTCATCAAAGTAAATGAAAGTGTATACATATTTCTATGTCAAAATAAAAACACAAGTATTGATCTACAAATTTCTTGGGCTAGGGCAAGGTTTTTCTGAAGCAAAAGATCTGGCTACAAAGCCACTGAAGATGGTTTGAAGGTTAGGCAAATACTGAGGCCTGTCAGTAGCAATATGAAATAAAGCAGATATATTCTCTTAAAAACGCAATCTGAGTGTAATTAAACATGCATTTAAAAGCCTGAAAGTATGTTTTTATTCAATGATTAAAATACACAGAAATGAGAGTCCGCTCTTCCAGGATTTCACACATAAGTACAAATACCCACTCCAATAATCCCCCAACCTACTGGATCCAGGCCCAGATCTGCCTACATCCCATAATAGCAATCGATTTGCAAACACCAAGGAAAGCATAAATTACTAGGTAGAAACCAACATGGCTTTGTGGAGAGCAAATGGTTGGATCAATTTAATTTCCATCCGTGGCAGATGGACAGACTTTGCAGATAAGGAGGAAGAGATCAATGTTATATATCTGAATTTCCTACCCCACATTATTCCTCATCAATGCTAAAGAAAGAAACGTGGAAGATACATGACTGTTAGGCAACATGCCTTTCCGGACTGATCTGACACTGTTGTGTTTTGCTCACTCCTCTGCCCTCTTGTCCCCTCTGCATTTATCTGTGTCATTTGCCCCATGTTATTATACACTTACTTGCAAGTTGCTTTGTAATCTTCTTTTATTGGTTCTAGCATTTAAGTTTTGTCTCCCCAACTAAATTGCATGCTCCTAAGCAGAGGCAGAGATTCTGTCTACTTCTTTTGTGTCTTCCTCAGTGTGCTGTTCATGGCTGTGAATGCACTAGGCTTGCAGTAAACGCGGGAGGAATGGATGGCTCGGCTCCAGCAGCCTCTGCTTGCCTACAAAAGGCAATTTTGAACTTGATAATGAATTTCAACAAAATTTCATAGGTGGGGCACAGATGACGGCTCTGTCATGGACTGCCATATACTGACAAGTCTCTTCCCCAAAACCTTGCCATTATACTTGAGCCAGGAAAGTGACTTGGCTAAGCATGAAAATCATATGCTGGTTTTTTTCATCAGGGTTATTCTGTCCTTCCAGGTAAGTGATTAACATACCGAAATTGCTGCTTCTACTATTAAATGCAAGAACATCCTGTTAGTTTCTTCTCATATAAAACCTGGTTATTTATTTCTGCCCTTTGCCTCATGCCTGTTAGCTTAGATTTAATGCTGAGATCAGAATTTTACCCCTTCATCCCATTTCCTTAATTGTCTTTTTGGTTTTATTCTAGAAAAGATTTCATGAAATCTTAGCAAATATATTTAGTGATTCTCACATTTTCCTCCAATTGTTTCCTGATTTTTCAAAATGAAAGTAAAGAAACTAGAAACGACCACTCTTCATCTGGCTCGAGTCTTCTGAAGGCAGCCAGAGAGCTGAGAACGCTCTAAAAATCTCCCTCATCTCCCATGAAGTCTTCTATTTAACTTTTTCTGAAATCAAGGCAAGACTCCATGACTTATAACTTAGGAAATCAATCTTCTTCGTTCGACATTCCTATAAAAAACGGTGCAATATGGGCCACTTACCAGGCCTGGAGTATGATAGCTACATAAAAATGATAAATCATAACTTTTTGCTATAGCATCAGTTCTTTTTTTTTGCCTTGAGTTCTTCTGACAAATATCTCTCAGCATTGATACTACATTCCAGTTTAATTTCTCAAGCAATTCCAACATTTTTTAGGAATTCCTACTTATGTATAATACACCCAGTGACCAGAAACTCCCTTTGTTTAATTTTCCCTCTAAAGCTATCTCACTGTTTTGAAGGTCTAGACATGCACCCCTCAAGGTAGCTAATGCCAAGCTTGTGATGACACCTGAGATAGCTTCATTTCAAGAGTTGTAGATTCTCTGGCATAAGCCTTAGCATGTTTAGTTACAGCAACTTCAAAACTGTGCCACAAAACTCTTTTCCATCGTCTGCTGCTAAAATTTGGGTCCAGCAGGAAAAGAATGAAGGTCTCTTCCATTCGTAAGAAAATACTCAGCTAGAACAATGGCATCCCCTGTTACCACAACATCCCACTTAGGAAACTCTATTCTTTTCTGCTATAAATTACTTTTTCTTCTCATTTCCAACGATTGCAGACCAACTTCTTCAATTGAAAAAACTGAACTTACTAAGAAAACCACAAGCATTTGAGGAAACTCTGAAGTAGACCCTAAATTGGAGGCACACATTTGCTTTTTGTAACAATTCCACTTTCTAAAATGATCTGGTGTTTGCTGGCACACAATGACAGACTTTCCTTCATATACCAAAGCCCGTGCCCTCTCATGAAATAAAACAGTGTATACTATGTCCCAGAAACACAGGAGAGAGCCCTCTCAGTGGGCAAGTGATACAGCATTTATTTTCAGACTGTAAATTCTAACACTATAATCTACTTTTAACTCTTATGTCACCGTATATCGGTCACTTAATTCCAACTGCTGGAAAAGGAAGTAACCAGGGAGTCGTGGTTGGCAGAGAAACCAAAAATGAACTGTTATTGTGGTTGACTTCAGAGAAGGAATTATTCAGACCACATCTAAACCCCTTCCAATTCACCACCTAGGTCAAATTACTCTATACCCAAAGGTTTTATTTAACCACTTCCATCACTTTACTCAATATCCCCCACCTCTCGCTTTCTCTCTCTCTCTCTCTCTCTCTCTCTCTCTCTCTCTCTCTCTCTCTCTCTGTGTGTGTGTGTGTGTGTGTGTGTGTGTGTGTTTTT